TGAGTGTGTGTGCGCGCGCGCGCGCGCGTGTATCACACAGTAGAGGCATATTATCTTTTTGTAATTACAAATAACATTTCTCCCCTGAAAACTCCTACAGTCAATCGAGAAGCAATGGGGAGGTTTACTTTACAGCTCTACTTTTTCACGACGGATAGCCTCCTCGTTAATTTATAACACGATCCTGGAGATAGGAGAAATTCTCCGATTAGTTTGGAGCAAATTCCCTCTCTTTGACACCTAATATTATTAATCAAACTGATGGGAGACAATCGCGAATCGAGCGACTTTTCCTTAAAAAAGAATCATCCATCGTTATTTAACTTGTATAACACTTGTTACTACGCTTCTCGTATCGAATGATGATACAGGTTAAACCAGGTTAAGCTAGAATCTAAATTGCAATATCGTATCAAGTGACTACGAGGCTTAGGTCAGGAATAGATTTTATGTGTAAAAGTGTTTTTATTGATTTCCTGTGTTGTATATTAAATTATGGATACCACTATAAACCATTTTTCTCACTACAGATTCTCGCCTACCAGCGAAATCCAATCGATTTCGGGACAAATATTACCTTTATAAAAACATCGAGGGATGTTCTTCAACACGCACATTCTTTATAAATTTCTTTGTACGATTAAAGCTTCGAATTAAAAGTTGATTCAAAGCTGGAAACCGCTCAAGTTTTCGCAATTTTTAAATAAGAACAAAAGGAATAACTGATTGAACAATAAGTCAATTAATATTTCGTAATTAATTACATAAATTAATTACATAATGAATATCTTTTTAGAAGATTGTGATTTAATTTAAATTTTTATGTTGTGACAAAATTTTTAATCACAACAATTTTATTCAGTTATGTTTATATAAATATAATATAATACACTGTAGAAAACGAATGGACATATTGTCGAGAATTGATTATTTGCCATATACTCATCAGAAAAACATTGTCTCCAAACAGAGAAACTGCTATACACAACGGGGATTATATAACTTGTGTATATTAATGATTTAGAGTAGGATGTGCAAATAATGACTTATATCAGTTAATAAATAAAATAATCGATTATCTGTACTTTTTTGTACTATTTCTATTATCTATTTATCTATTTCTATAATCCATTTCTATTAATGTAGATTAAATTTAATTCTTAAAACTAAAAAAAGATAAAAAGTAAGTAAACTCGAGATTAAAGTTAATCTATATTGACAGAAATGAACATATATCCAAGATATACCAACAGCGAATTTGGCAAATGACAGTTTTACAAAGATTGCTATACACGAAGATATGTCCTTTTACCAATGCAAATTAACTTTAATCTCATTGTCAGTTTAATTTATTTTTTCTAAGACCTTGCACAATGGAGGAAATATTAGAATCAGAATAAATATATTTGGAAATAAAAATTAAGAACAAAGATTAAACATAAGACACAATAAATACAAGTAGAAGATATAACTACATCTTATGATATAACTATATTATACTTATTTATCACTTGTGTATTACGTTTAGTCTTTAATTTTCCTCTAATTTTCATTTCCAAAATTTAATTTATTTTATTTATTTCATTTTATTTATTTCTGTTCCTAATATTTCCTCCATTATACATTAGGTCTAATTCTTGGAATTGAGCTTTGTGTCCACAATGCTAAAAATCAATCCAAGATCTTGGATAGAGAAAAAATTGGCTAATTACAGTGACTATTTTCGCCAATTCAATATGATCAATATGATTGGTCAATTTTTTCTTCACCCAAGATTTCGGGCCAATTTCTAGCATCATGAACACAAGACTTTAAGAAAAGATAAAACAAAGTTCACTTAAGGTTAAAATTAATTTACATTGGTAAAAATAGATATTAGAGTAATTCCAAAAGCAAAATCTGATTAACTTAATCAATAATTAATTCAACCTGGCATAGTTGCTGAATGTAAAATTTCTAATTATATAACAGAATGTATTTATTGTTGTTTCTACTCTAGTCCTTCTGTATTAAGCCTAAAAACTAAAACTTTTGTCCATGTTAACAATAGATTGTTCGACAACCCAATTATTTACTAATTACCTACTAATTATCTATTAATTACTGATAAAGTTAACAGCAGTTTGCTGAGTTATCCCAAGTGCAAGAGAGTAACACAAACATTTTAATCAATGAAATATACAATGTACATTCTCCTAAAAATGCGATATGACACTGATACAAGGTATTTTATTGATCAAAATGTTTATGTTTCGATTATTGAATAACTTCGTGTATTAACAGTTCATCTTCGAAGTGCAACGACAGAATTCCGTTGGTAAACCAAATTGGCTACGAATTGGTTACAATCGAAATTATACGCCGATTGAGAAGATATCTCAAAAAAATATACAGAAGACATTCGAAAATTTTCGTGAGTGAACGCGCGGATCGTCGCACCGCCATAGACGAGCTATATTTGTTCGAACGCAACTCAGGCGTTCTACCGTAGTAAAGAATAATAAATATATCGCATTACTCACAACTGATTTAAATCCGAAACAGGCCCTCGCTAATGATCATGAACGCGGGAACTCGCACGTTACCCGCACTCGTGCCGATTCGAGAAATGAACTTGCACAACAGATATCACAAACGCATTGTCGCAGCTGACTGCCTAACTGACCCATCAAGATCCATATCATTGATCGGAAGTTGCATGCACTAGATTAACTTCCATGGCAATGCTGCCAACAGAGAGAGAGAGAGAGATCGGGACATCGATTTTATAACTTTTCCCTAGAAATATATAAAACTCAGAGAGAAACCTGAATTGTCATAGACGCGTTTTAGCTGTAATCTTATTCGCGTAGGTAATGTGCACGATTTCTCTTCCATACTAGACGTAATGATAAAGACGGACAGTCGTGTCTGTATCGTCCATTGAGGTCACGTGACGTCATACGCCGGCGCGGCGGCGTATCGTGCTACCTTCTTGCTGCGTCATATTTGTTCGCGCCACGCTCTGGATTGGACGCTCCGTATTTTTCGCGTTCCTGAAATTCGAATTACACGCAGATACGGTGTCTAGAAGACCGAATATGAAGTAAAGTAATTACTTTATTAAGTAAATGCTTGTATAATGTATAGAAAGTATCACATTTATTTATGAAATACGTGTACTTGTTACATCGTAATGGAATGAAATCTCGCGCGTTTATTCGTTCGAATAAAATGAGTTACTCGTGCATCTATCGGAAATCTTAAGAGAAATTTAGCATCATACAATATTAAATTCTTCATATTAAATACGAAATTTTTAAAACGAAACCAGATTTTATTCGATGTATGTATATATTTACGCGTGTAGTAAAACAGTAAACAGTAATTCTTGCCGTTTTTGCTTTTACTATTTTGAGGTCATATGACGTCACACGCTGGCGCGCCTTTCGCGCCTCGGTTTTCTTGTCGTGTCATATTTGTTCGCGCCCTGCTTCGGATCGGACGCTCCGTATTTTTCGCGTTTCGGAAATTCGAATTATACACAAATATGATGTCCAGAATGCCGAATATGGAAATGGATAATTACTTTATTACATAAATAACTGTGTAGTATATAAAGAGAATCATATTAATGAAATGCAACAATCGCGTACTTGTATCATAACAGAATGAAATCTGGCGCGCATATTCGTTCGAATAGAATGTGTTACTTGCGCAATAATGCAATGAGAATATCGAGAAAAACGCGACTTAATGTGTCGTACAATATTAATTCATGCGTATCAGGTACGAAATTTTCAAATGGAAGCAAGTTATTTGTTTTTATTCGATGTACATATTTATGCGTGTCGTTGCCTCCGTCGACGAATTGTTCTATTGCATAAATAATGATGTAGTAAGTAAATGTAATCTCGTTCGTTAATAAATCGCTACTTAATGCAACTTAATATCTTTTGCGTCGCGACAATTTAAATTCTCTCGCACTATGTGATTCGCACTATTCGCGTAACCGGGAGTGCCGAATAAAGTGTCGGGCGATCGTTAATGTGCATGTAATTCGAGAAGGTGAGTGATCACTAGAATTTCAACGGGAGGCAGAACTTGGTGAGAGCATTAATTATTATTTATTATATATTTCTACGTTCTAAAATAAAATATATTCTGTAAAGTTTGGTATATATTTAATATATGTAAAAAGCATCATATTATGTAAAGAATTATAATATAATGAGATTATATTATATTTGAGTAAAATATTCGTTAATTACATTAAATACTTTGTTCTTTATAATATTTTATTTCTTAGTAATCTTTTTAATTTTAGTAATCTTTTTAACCTAGAACTAACGAGAAAATTCAATGAACATCATAATATTTGATTGCTTTTTATACTTTAGAAGATGTGCCGTGCTGGAACACGAATTTAGTACATTTATTTTTTAATTTTAAAACTGCGTAATTTTAATATTTTTCAGAAACTGTAAAACTATGAAAACTATTATTACTGAAGTACTCTTCTTTCTTTTAAAAATTAATAAAATGTCGTGCCAACTTCACATAATTTTTTTTTATTATAAATACTGATTAATATTACTATATACATTTATCTAACTATTAATTATTTACAATATGCTATTTATATAAAAAAATAACATAACATTTTATTTTAATGTTTATATTTATTTAATTTGTTGAAGAAGAAAAACCTCTTTTTTTTTTAAACACGCTATATTACATTTTACACGTATTTACATGTACATAGATACAAACATATTGATAAATATATACATACTATATTAAAGTTAATCAGTTATTAATCTACAATAAAAAAATTATGCGGTAGGTAATTTTAAATTTTTAAAAATATATAAATTATATAAATTATATATTCTTAATGAATTGGGGATGCGGATACGCACTAAAATTTGATTTTATCAGCAGTGTCAGAAAATGATTGTAACTAAGCAGTTACAAATTCAAAAATAGATATACTGGCGGTAATGTACAGAAGGCTTTAATGATCTTGTGAAAAGGCAGGGATAACTGCTTTCGGATTTCTCTCTGGGAACACCGTTGAAATCGCTGTACACTACCGCCACCATTTATTTCACTGGTTATTAATTCAACTTGAAACTATAAATCACATCCATTTTGTGACATTACTGATAAAATCATCTTGCAAAATAGATGTGGTGTGCGTCGATACTAAATTCACAGAATGAATTATTCGTTTGTTTCTTAGTATTTTCTATCATAGTATTTAAAGATTGCTAGCTTACCAATAATCGTTAACAATAATTACTTCTTACTATCTGCAAGAGGTAACAATCATAAGTAAGCTAAGTAAGAGTTAGATTTCAAATAAAGAAAAAAGTATTTTATAATAACAATGTTTTTTTTAAATAAAAATGATTTAAACTAATATACATTTAAATAAAACTGTCAGTAAATAAAAATTCAAGAATAATTTAATTAAATAAAAAATTTTCAAATAAAAATGCATTGATTCTATAAAAAAATAATAAAAAAGGACATATTTATTTACAAACTATTTTATGTTTATATATTCTAGACTTTGACATATATTTTTTACAAAACTTTACATACTAATATTTTATTATAATTTTAAAATATTTAATATCTCCTTAATTATAGAAAATGATTTGTACAATGTGTATTAATGTTATAAAATATTTTCAATATAAAACTTTAAAGGACACATACGTGCTTAAGTATTTAAAAATATAGCTTAACGTATTTTTAAAGCATTTTTAGTAAATTACATCTGCGTTATGTAATTAATGAAAATCAATTTTATCAATTTTAATCGAGATTTTATTTTATTCTATTTTACAAATGCATTATTAGATGTATCAAAATCATTCTTGGAATTGGAACTTGAACTCTATATAAAATGAATATTTCTATTATACAGAAAATATATAAAAATTTATCAAAAAACGAATTTATAAAGAGTATATAAAATGAAAAATTAAATATCACTACGATATTTTTTACGATATTTGATTGAATCGTCTCTTAAATTGATATTTATCTATTTCTCATTCGCTCGAAAGACTTGCTCATTCCGCAGAAATCCTTCGTTACCCAGATAAGTATCATGCATGTTTCAGTTATGTAAATTATCGCTTATCGCAGAGAACCTTACAAGCAATTCGATGGCTTGCTTTAAATCAACATTTCAACGGGTCGAAAACAGAACGGTCACTGTCAGCTACTACAACTCAAGAGGTTGTTTTTACATGTTTGTAAAACGAGAAAAAGAGAAAAAAACATGAAAAGTAGACACACGGGGTAGATGAGGGAGCGACGGGATTGTGACCTCAATTTTAATACTAGCTGGATTAACGAACGCCTGCCGGCGACTTTCCACGAGCATTTTTTAGTTTTAGCCGGAGTTAGCCGGGTTGCGAAGTGAGTTACAGTTCAAAGAACAATACAATAGAGAGGTGAGAAGAGTGTACAGTTTACAACAAAATCGCAGAAATCGCTTAGTTTTATCGAGAGTCGATTGGGGTTTTGAAAAGTGAGTAAATTGTATGTGTTTTGTGAGATTTTATCGATTTCTTAATTCTCGATGTCTATGCAATGAGGATAAAATTCGTATAATATTGTTGTTACATTACAATTGATTTTTTTAAATGACAAAGTAATTTTGATGTGAATTTATTTAAATATTTACATTGCTAAAAATTTGATGTTATATTTTTACATCAAAGATTTGCTAATTTACAATTTCTTATCTATATGCTTTCAAATTCAAAACACACGAATACGCAAACATAAGATATATAAAAATTGTAAATGGAATTGATAACAATATTTACGAAAATTTACGAAAAAATTTGTATATTTGCATATCTAAGAATTATATATCATTATAACATTATTTTTGTTGATTTGTTCTAAAATCGTAGCCATTACATTTATCAAATAATCAAAAATAAATAATTTTATTTCCGTTAAATATTTTATTTATTATTTGCTTCATTTTGCAATTGTAAGGCAAATTTTTTTTATTTCATTTATTTTTATTTCATTAGAAAAAAGCTGATTTAAAAATAATGAATAATTTGAATTAAAAGCCTTGGCAATATTAAAAATAAAAGTATCGGCAATATTATCGATCGATATAAATGTTAATTAAAATAAATCGAAGTTGGCGCACTGAATCGAAAAACTCATTGTGAGTCATGAACCGCAAAATACAAAATGAAATGCGAAGCTACGTTTAAATGTGTTCGTAATTGATAACGCGATGGCATGCGAATAAGAATGTATGACAAAAGAAAAATATTGGTAAAAAAATTGAACTTATGATACAAATGTACATTATACTTGATTTATATTTTTATTTATATTTTTATAATTTATTATTTTTATAATTTAGGATTACGATCATCACAAGAAATGAATACATAGGTACATTCTTTAAAAAAATATAATAATTCGGCAGCTGGTAGGAAGGGATATATTTTTTTATGCGCATAAAATTTTTATTATGTGCATATCTAATAAAATAAAATAAAATAAAATAAAAGAACATTTTTACTGATTGAACATTTTGACTGATATTTATTATTATATAATTTTATAAATATTATAAAATTATTTCATAAAATTTATGAAATATATTAATTATTTCAAAATATTTATGAAATATTCTTTTAGGCTATTCGTAATTAATTAAAACTTAATTTTTTTGGATCAATTACCAACATCATGCAATATTTTATTCAGTTGGATGATATAGATTGTAAAGACATAAATTGCGTATTCGGTTGCGGAAAACTAATACAGATTAATCATAGGCGACGCGTTCGTTCCATCTCCTATGATATGATGTATCACGAAAAACGAAACCTTATC